CCCTATACGGATGTCCGGACGGGGAATTCCCTTGGGATGTCATCAATAAGTGCAATTGGGGTAGGTGCAATATTTCCCGAGTCGGAGCGTGGAATATTAGGACAATGGGGTAAGTAGGGAAATTGGAAAATTTGACTATTCACAAATAGTTAAGGATGTGGGTTGTTCTAATTTTACGGAAATGGGAGGATAAGCTCAACCAGTCTTAGGACTGACGACCTTATGATGATGATGATGATGGTTGAATCATCCCATACGTGTAACCTTGTTTTCAGTAATACTGGTAATTGTTTCGAGAAATCCATTTGATACAGATTAACGATTGCATGTTTAGAGGCATTCAATCAAGCACGTTTTCAACAGCTTCGATTAATTTCTGTGACGGATCCTCGGCAAATAAATAACTGTTCGACTTTAAACACCAAATACACGTCGTTTAATTTGTTGTTATTAATAAAACGTGTCTACAAAAATGGTATTCTGAACGGTCATTATGTAGTAGTGATAGGCAGGTAGGGGGCGCCAATGTACTGTTCCCGTTACTTCGAATATTAATCATCATTGAATTGGTTCCAGGTACAGTCAGGCGCAAATATCATACCTCCGGACTTTATTAACCTGGCACTCTAAAAGGTGTAATGGGTATATAGAATTTTTAGGTTATACTTGTTTTGACGCATTAAGAGTAAAAGATTTTACAACGGATGTTGCACGCGCAGTTACGAAGTTAGCAGCGTGGTTACGAGCTAATGAGCACGTGACTAATTCGAGCACGGTATCAGAACCAGGGTTTTAATTTTTATTCTTCCCAAGCAACCAAACGTACAGAAAACTCTTAAAACAGGGACTTCTAACTCTACACCGCATAGTGCCTGTTTACTTGATTTGTTTAACGACATATAATTTTAAATACTTTACTTAATTAATATCATTAGGGTTCCTTTACCAAAAAGAAATGTCTTTCATCATTTCAATAAGTATTAACGTTAATGACTTGTTTGGCACAGTAGGTATGTATTAGAATATGATTGTCTACACCTAAAGTGGTCAGTGTTCTACCAGAATGTATACGGTGTGCTGATGAGATCGAAAGAGGTCGAAATAACTATACTCTATTGACGGGCTAGACAGATCACCAACCAAAACCTTTTGTTGCTCTTGAGGTTCTTAAAAAATATTTTCATTTTCATTTGTATAAGGAATTCAAAATGATGGTCTAATTAAAAAGTGAGAGTGAGGTATCGTACGAATAAAAGAACTTTACTTACGCATTCTAAGATAATTGTTTTTAATTTTAAATACCTACCTACTTTTAATACGCAGGCGACTCCATAAGAGTTGCATTACATGGAACCTAAGAAGCTTATGCTTGTTTTATTGTTTACGTAAGTAACTGCCAAGAGTAATATATTTAGGGGAGACTGGGACAAAATGGAATACTTAATAAAGAAATTATCTTATAAAAAAAATTAATTGTTTAATAGAATAACTTTTACTCAGCTAGCAAAATTATTACTTTAGATATTCAAAACATTCTATACAATAAATTACTTAATTTTCTCATATGAGAAACAACAATAAAGAAATTTTCTGACCCCCGACCGCGGGTCGAAATGGGAAATGGCACTTCTGACTGGCAGCGTTCACAAGTATGCGCAAAATTGCTTATCAACTCCAACACAGAAATTATATTATGGCTCAATCATGGCACATATTACAACATAGCAAAATACCCATTCTTTGGTCGTCTGCGAATAAGTTCGCACAGTGAATACAAGCGCAGTATCCAACAGCATTGACTAAACGTTTAGACCATTGCTTAGCATTCGAGAGGACACTGGTTCGAATCTGAATTTCTTTGGATCATTTGGGCAAATGATGGAGCAGCAGTAATGATAATTCTATTCCACAGATGGTCTTTCACTTCTCTTCATTTTGTCCGTCTCATCTTTCTCACCCCAACCACCACCCACCCATTCTCATGACTCCTAAAAGGAGGTTGAAGAGGACCCTCCGCTCTACTCTCCGGAGTAGTCTGGAGGGACTGTCTGCCCAATAGATTTAGGAACTGGTGGGAATGATTTTTGCCCTAACAAACATATTTTGTACTTAAATCAAGTACTTCTAACCTAAAACAGTGACGGTTATGAAAAGTACCTTTTATCAAACTTCGATACTACTGCTACGACCTAGGGTTGAAAATACAACAAAAATATTTAGTTACTCGCCTAATAGCACGTCAACATTTGTCACAAAACTTCGTAAAAATGTGAACAAATTCAATTTTTTATCACAATGCAGCAAAAAAGAATACCGACACGTTCTCTTCCAGCTGACTAATGTAGGGTGACTTAAGTTTGTCCAAATAGCCCTGTCTGAGCCACATATGCGCATACAAGTTATATACATTAGCACTCGTTCCGTATTGCCCCTAATCTCGTTTTGCCCCGGTCCCCCCTACACATTTATACAGTTTACACCTGCACTCATTATTATTTTGGCTGCCTTATTAGTAGAAAATTACCGTGACATAGGTAAGAGCGATATTTTATTCCTCCTACAACGTGAATTATCTTATCAAGTGCCATAAGGAGATGTCTAAAACCATGACTAAAGATTGCCTTTCCATTTTTACATGAGAACTTCCAAGGAGAATGTTTCAATTTTGACAACCATGAAAGCCTTGGTTGCCCTATGACGAGCAGCACTCAAGAAAACATTACTGCAGTGAAAAATTCACTAACCTGGCATATTACCCAAGTACGCATCTTTGGTGTACTGAAAATACTAGACACGAAAAAAATAAATAAATGTTTATTAATTCACGACAATTATCTGGTACATCGGGTAATACTAACTTGAGAGTTGTTGTTGTTATAAGAGATAAATTTAAGAGATAAGTTGGTTTGTCCTTACTCTGATGGCGTTTAATTCGCATAATGTTAATAAATTTTTTTGTTTTGGCAAAACTTATAGAACAGCCTACGTATAATTTAAAGTTTGTGCGATTCAATAATAACGAAAAATTCATATTTTTAATAACAGAAATTAACAAAAGTACTCTTATATAGGACAGAGTGAAAGATCAGTTAGAAAACGTGCTCTAGAGTTTATAAGTTTATTCTAATCTATTTCTAATAATAAAAAGATAGGTAGTAAGACTGCATTCGCAGAATATTGTTAGATATTGTACAGGCATATATCCATTTGTTAGGATTTAGAACTCATAGTAACTTAATCGCAATGTTAACTTATGATTAAAAACAAAGTATAACTAAACATTTCTAATTCCCCACGCATCCTATACAAACCAGAATCCTTTAGACTTCTCCTTTATATTTTACAATTAGCTAAGTATAAAAATGGTAGTTACAATATTTTTAAACTTCAGTTACCCTTATTGTACACTCTTAAAAATGGCCGAAAGCCGAAAAAATACTTGCGCGCAATAAAAAAATTTCTGTAAGCATTCCCACGCTTTTTGTATTTCAGTAACTTATGTCTAAATTTATAACCAAACGTCATTTTACCTTTTCTTTCTGAAATTTGTAGAATGGAAGCATCTTTTTGCTTGTCGCTGGACCCATAGCTTTGCGAATGTATTTTTGAGAAAACAGTTATTATTTATGACTTTGGAACACTCTAAATTAATCAGAGCCATCGACGAGCAATTTGATTGAGAATGTTTCTGCACGCAACCATTTATCAAATTCGAAACGCATTATAAACATCATTAGCGGTTAATATATCGAAAAAAGAAAAGAAATAGGTAGTGAATTCAATATCCTTGAGAAAAGAACGATGAGTTTTAGGAAGATTTTGACTGCTATAATATATTATTAATGCTATAACAAAACGATTTTTAGGGTATTGGAGATTAGGTACACAGAAAATACAATCTGCAAAAGAACAAAAATCATCGTTAATTGTCCATCTTCCAACTGCAATTTAGTTTCGGTCCACAGTCAGGACATATAGAAACACCCTTCTTAATTACCCTTTTACCTCCTATATTTGATTTGCAGTTAGGATGTCCCCCTATCTTGGATCAATATACATAGTTGGTTAGTGGCTGGTCATTTGCTACAATAAACAACGTAGGCTTGGCATTTAGATAGTAAGTTGTTTTATGTTATTGTTTATTAGTGGTTATATTGGAGTGCACAAAGACCTATTAACCACGTCATCTCTCAAGTAGTTTCTGCATCATAATACAAAAGCAGCACTTGCAGTATTTTTCGTACCGCTGACAGCGTATTGAGGCCGCCGCAGTAACAAAGCTGAACGCATCCTAATGTATAGTGCGAGGCGAAAATTATGTTCCTTTTTTATTTCTACCATGGTAGGAGATATAAGTTTTTTAGATTCTTTGGTTATTTGAGTGGTAAAAGTAATGAAATTGGTAAATGTCTAGATGATGGCCCCCACCCTCGAAGAGGATAAGGGTGGGTGGGATCGAAAGAGGAGGTCTCCCCAGCCACTGTACCATAAAAACTTCGTGGCGGTCTCACCCCCCTAAAAAGTTATTGGGGTTAGATGGGGGTGAGGGTAGGGGGATCGAAAGAGGGTAGGGGGGATCGAAAGAAGGTGGTCACTTGAACAAAACCCGATAACCTAACCTAACCTATTGATAAAGATATTTAAATAATGTTTTATATAACTTTCTCAATATTTTTATGATTTTACCTTTGAATATTATTGAAGAATGACTATATAAATATTTACATGCCTAGAAATGTATAAAAATTGGCATATTTATTAACTTTGATCCACCATAACTTTTTATGGGGGTGAGACTGCCACGAACTTTTTATGGTACAGTGGTGGGCGAGACCTCCTCTATTGACCCCCCCCCACCACCCCCGAAGGGGGTGGGGGCCATCATCTAGACCTTTACCATGAAATTGAATGTAACAACACAGTAATTAAGTAAAATTGTAATAGGGAGACACTACTCTTTACTTTCGTCATAGAAACTAAAAATAAGGATCTAAGATTACCTTAAAATTATCTGGCACATACAAAGCAATCAAAATCTGTTGTTGGACACATCTTTTATGGTTTCGTTCCCAAAGGGTCTAACGGAACTTTCAATTTGTGGTATTGCTGCCGCCGAACCTCCTATTCGATATATTTACAGTTCCTACAAATTTTAATTGTAAAGAGGACCTTCAAACAATGTTTGTTGGGTATAGTTTAAAAGAATTTTGCAGGTAAAGCACAAATACACCGTTTTAAAATTTTTGGACAACTTAAAGCATCCAGGTGTCATCAAAATGGGGGTTCGGTCAATTTTTGCGGGATACATTGTACAATTACGAGATTGACATTTAAATAACTCGGTTGTCCTTATAAGGACCATTTTAATCGTTTTGTGCATAATATTTATTAGTATGCTGGAGCGACTGTATGAAGCTTCATCTTCGGATTGCATTTGAAAATGCTGACGTCCGCTGCAGATAAAAAAGGTTTGTCCGACAAAAATATTAAACGTAATAATTGCAAGCTCGCTCTGGAGCTGCATCGTTTGCGCTCTAAGCATTCTGATAGAGATTTAAAATGCTAATTGGGAAACTAGAATTTACGCGAAGAATATAAAAGATTGGCATTATATATATATATATGTAATAAAGTTCAGGTAGTTACTTGCATGGCACGAATTCTTCCATACAGCACTTATTTTTAGTTGCAGTCCTGAAACGAATTTGCATAAAGTTGAGTACATTTTTGTCGCATTGAGAAAGAATTGGATATTATCTAGAGCGGTCTCTTCCGAATAAAATTGCATCATTTTACAAAATCATCGTAACAACGAAAAATTGCAACTGTAGGGATATACAGCAAAAGATAGCGCATGGTCGAGTCGCCTTCAATAAAAAAAAGTCTTTTCAATTCGATAAAGATTGTTAAAGATGTATGTTTGGAGCGCGGCGCTGTACGAATCCGAAACATGGACGGTGGGTGCAGCGGAAAAGAAAAGGTTATAAGCGTTCGAAATGTGGAGAAGATTAGAAATGAGGTATTAGAAAAAATAGGAGAACAGGAAACTATGGAAGTTAATAAAAAATAGGTGAGATAGGTTGGTAGGACACCTTCTCAGGCCTGAAGATCTATTCAGACATATTAGAGTCAAAAACAGGAGTTAAGATTTGCAAAAAGTTAGGGATGTGCGATGTTCCAGTTTTAGGGAAATGCGAAGATTAACTCAGAATAGGAAAGAGTGAAGGTGCGCGTCCAACCAGTCTTAGGACTGACGACTGATGATGATGAACGAAAAATTGTCGAATTGTAATATATCTGTGATCTATTAAGCTTGTAATAAGATGTAACTTTTTGTATAAACATACCTACTGTTAATAAATAGGCATGTTTACTCCGTCTGTTCGGGTCTAAGTTTTTCTGTGGTTTTCTTGGATCACTTAGGCAAATGTTGGGACAATAATATTCAAAAGATTACTCCTACGATTTCTAAAAGAAGGATGAAGATGGCTTTCCGTCTTATCCTTTGGTGTAGCTCGAAGGAACTGCTCTCCAAACAGAATTAATAGCTGGTAGGAATGTAGCACCCAGAAGTTTATCATTATGTTTTAGTGGCATTATGAAAGAATTGGATATTTCTTGGAACGTTCCCTTCCTAATAACATTGAACCGCTTTTTTCAAAATACATTTGGTACCCAACGAAATTATCTCAATAATAAATAATTGTCGAATTGAGCAAAGCAATACCAAGATTGTCCCAGTATTGGTATTTGTCTTGGTCTTACTTATTCGGTCTTGGCTTTGCTCAAATACTTGCAGTCTTGGTTTTGGTCTTGCTGGTATAGTATCGGTCTTGGTATTAGTCGTACGTATTAATGCTTATTCTGGTTTATTTAACCTGATACGTATTCTTTAGTAATTCTTTTAAGCCCAAATTCTTCTTTTTTTAATGAAAACTGGATAACTTTTCCCTTGTTACTTGAATTTTATTGGAATAAAATCTTGGTATTTTTGCATACCAAAACAGCCGCTATTGATCTTTCAGTGTATTGAATAAAATGCTTCTATATTTTTAGTAACCGTCTTGCAATTGGGTATTTGACTCGAAATATTGACAAGAAGTCCGATTCCTTAATGATACTGCAACGGTAATTTCTGCTACCTGCGAAAGTTCAGTGAACACCGAACTAAAGACTGATATTACTCCTATAGTCCCTGTGCCCTTTTGTAATCTTATTGTAGCACGCATATACGAATGCTCTTCGATTTTTTCAAGCAGTTTTACTTACACGTATTTGACTCGAATATTGGGTGAAGGGGAACCATACCTCTCCATCCGCCCCTTTGGCTAAGGGTCTGAATCTCTGAATCTCTGAATAAACGTACAGAAGTCTTTCGTTCGTTTCCTAGGTTGGTGGTTTCGGATTGCCATTTCTATCACCAGACGAAATTGAAAACTGTTTCACACACGACTTGATGAGCTATAAGCCCGTACATGAAAAGGTTGATATACATTCCGATTATTCGTTCGAAAACTATGTAAATACTAGAAGATTCCAAATCCCTTCCGATAATCTAAGCTACTAATTTAACCTTGAAGGAATTAAAGACTAATGGTTGCGAATCGTTTCATTCAAGACACAATAAGTTTTTTTATTAGGGCAGCCAATTATAAATTTATTTTTAGAAGTTTTAAAAACATTCCAGCAACGGTATATACTTAATTATATAGTTTACACATAATCAAGAATATTGCAACCTCACGAACTGTCAATTGTAGGTTAAAATCCAGTTAGAAATAAAGTAGTTAAACTCACCGAAATTTTATTTATGTATTTGACTTTAAAATATAAGACAATTAAACAATAGTAAGTACTTACGTGGTTGAATATGTATTCTTAACGCTCAAGAAAAGGTGTTTTAATACACATTATCTTATGGGTTTTACGTTAATTAATTCTAGTTGTTGATAAACACATATGTAGTAAGTAATAAACCTTATGACACTAAAATTGATAGATAATAGTTTTTATTACTCATTAGTTCAGTGTGGAATGGAACATCTGGTGAAAATAAAATGTTTATCAAAAAATATGTGTTCCGGTTTATCTTTAATGATTTCGTGTAAAATCGGACAGCTGAGCGGGTGAAAATAAAATGTTTACTGGGAAATGTGTATCATGCTAATAATCCTTAATGACTATGCACAAGGGCCAGGCATATATAGTATAAGCAGTTGATTCCGACATAATATACAGTGTGGATTCTAATGAGAAATGTAACAATAAAAAATATAAACGAGTTTTTATTTTTAGAATCATGTGTAGATGAATTTGAAAATAAAAAAATTGAATGATATTTATTTATAAAAAAATGAAACGAAATAAATCTGTCTATATGGACTATGTTAAGTGTTTATTTTACAAATCAGTCTCTACAACTGAACATAAAGCTTATATATTATATGGTATATATTTCTTTGGTGCATCAATTTTTAATGATACCCAAACAAACGGAGCGGAATCGGACTAGGTATATATTTGATCGCGAGTAGGAATCGTACCCTGCCCCTACATATTTCAGGGTACTATTGTTTCGAGTGATGTACAAAATTGATCTTGTTCTTGGTCTTTTCTTTTCATTTTCGCAAAACTAATTTATTAGCAAGATTAAAAGCCCGAGACCGAACGAACAAGACCAAGTTCAAAATAAAACCGAATGTGCAAAACCAAGACCAAATACGCAAGACTAAATGAAAAATTATTACTTCCGGGGGTTTTATGAGTTAAACTATTTGAAGTTACTAAACATATTCTATTGTTGGAACAAAACATTTTTTGTACTTATTTGAAATTTTTAGTTTGCTTTACTAGATTTTAACACTAAATATAAAAAAAAAATTGTGTGGCTTTATGAAACTACCATGCAAGTGAAACTTTTCGGATTGTAGGCATTTAACTGTATTAAAATTAAAATCGCGTTCTTAATCTTATCTTAATGGATTGGAAAACGGAATATCGCATTACAGCCGACCGCGAAGTAGGGGTAAAAGTGAAACGCGGTCGGCAAAGCAACCAACGCTAATATGGCGGCGCTCGCATGAGCTACCGTGTAGCATTTATATTCTCGCTCATTCGTGCAAGTGCATGACAATTGCATTTATAGATTGTGAAATTCAAAGCGAATATGAAATTATTGATAGAATAACTGAAGTTCGAAATGATTCATTGCTTTAAATAAATATTGTTCTCAGTTTTTAACATGCGTCTATTATTTGAATAATTGTATTTATTATACATACTGTACTCTCATACGTAGATTGAAATTAAATTTTATAGTTGGATATCTTGTCTACTATTGATAATTGATTTTTAATACTCTAAATCGAATGATTTTGCGAAATTTTACAGTTAAATGCCTACAANTAAAAAAAGTAATAGCCAAGAAACATGTAGGTAAAAATTTAACATAAATTATTAAGTCCACAATTCATAAATCTACGACCATTTGATTTTATTTCTGGCCATCTGTGGCCCACGCTATAGTGAACGTAAAATTGGTAACGCCATAAAGCGGCCGCTCTATTACGGCACTTTCTTTAGCTTTCCTTAGGCGGTGGTCTCCCTGAAGACAAGTTGCCCGCGACCGGCCGCGAGGATCTTCGGAATGATGTATTTGGAAAAACAGCCGCGGTCTCCCTGGACCATCCCTTATGTTTATTAGCAACGGGTGACGGTTAAATTAAAATTATAGTTTTATTGGATGTTAATAGTACATTTAGATGAATTTTCAGTAAAAGGAACTGACCGTAGACCAATATTTGCTTAAAGTAAAGTGGTCAAAGGTAAATCTTCCCATTAGCCATTAATATTCGTCATGAATGAACGGATGGTCCTTGTGATTGTATGCACTAAAACAAACAAAACATTTGCATAAAGCAGTTGGCGTTGTTCCTGTACAGGGAAGTATTAGTTAATTTAAAAAATCGATAAAATAAAATAAAATAAATAATAAAATTGTAATTACTCAGTAGCTGGGCATATTCTTCCATTACAGTCGAATGTATCAATATAAGCCATATCTTGTGGAGTTAACTCGAAGTCAAAAATATTGAAATTTTCCTTAATACGTTGATTATTTACGGACTTTGGAATGGTTATATGACCTAGCTGGATCTGATATCTGAGCAATATTTGCGCCGGTGTTTTTCCGTATTTTTTCGAAATTTCGATCAATTTTGGGTCGTCCATCAATTTGGGATCATCGGGCTTTGCCCAAGGTCTATCTGGTGATCCTAGAGGACTATAAGCTGTGACGACGATATTTTTTGATTTGCAGAATGCACTCAATTTCTTTTGATTAAGATAGGCATGGCACTCTATCTGAAAATAAGTACCATTTTATTTTGCCATTAATCAAAATTAAGATGCACATAAATTACAAAGAGACATTGAATCAATTGCTTAGTGGGATGATTGCGATGATCTAGTTCTGAATATTAACAAATGTAAGGTTACGTATTTCCTTGGAAAAAAGTTAATATTAATTATTACATTCTGTACAGAAGTAACGCGTTACCTATTTTATTATATTGCTGACTATATAATTATTCAGAAATCTTAAAAAATCTTGAAATTACCTTAAAATTTTTTAAGAAACTCTTGCTCATAACAATATATTAAACTGCTTCAAGTTTTAGAAAGATTGGTTAACTTTACGAATAAATAATAAGCGATCCATGTGTATGCAATCCAATTTATATTAAGTCTTCATTAGTTTCATTACTGATGGTTTTAACTTTACTTTCAAAATATGTAATCAAAGTATTAGTACCTGATTAGTCACCGGAGGAATTGTTGCGACTTCCAAGATTCGTTCGATTTGTTTTTTATTAAAATTGGAAATGCCGATAGACTTGGTCAAACCCTTTCTACAGACCTCTTCCATGGCTTTCCACGTATCAGTAATATCGACGTCGCTGGGAATGGCTTGACCACTTGAATCGTAAGGAAACAAAATGTTTCCTTCCTGAAAAAACAATAAGTCTAAAAGTTTTAAAATATTACTAGATATTAAAACTGTATTTAAATACTGTATGTTACATTGTTCTACCTAATTTACTTTTATCAAAATTTTAATGTAGGTATGTATACTATTTTCACTATTCCTTGTATTATAAGGCTATGAGCCCGTAAGTGCAAATTAAATAAAAATCAGGCAGTCATTGAAGAATTGCGGAAGAAACTTAAAACTCTGAAATACTGCCACTGTTTTTTTATATTCCAATTACAGTAGTATTACAAATTAAAATTTCATGATTTCTAAATTAAAATCATTAAAGTTTGTCTAGTTTTCATATCTATAAATATGTTGTCACATGTATGTTGGCAATCCTCATTGTCATGCATCGGCAACCCAATATACATAGTGACAAAGAAGACCAGATTTTCTAGACATCACATTTTGGATATTTCTAGAACAAGGCTAGCCCCTATAAATATTTGCTGTGAGATCGTAACAGTCGGCTGGAAAGAACCTGATCCAATAGGGTTTAAGTTGGTAGGCGCACCTCGTAGTGAATCCAATACTACTCGGCCGTACGGGAAAAAAAGACTTTTGGGTGTCTCATTCTACCAGCCACTAAAGCTGGTGGACGGGCAGTTCGTCCGGACTACGTAGAAAGGTAGGGCGTAGGGCTCTTCAATCTCCTTTCAGGAATCGTGAGAATGGGTGGGTGGTGGTTCGGGTAAGAAAGATGAGACGGACGAAATGAAGGCAGAAGAGAATGAAAGTTTATCTGTGGAATATTACTGCCCCAGCATTTGCCTAAGTTATCCAAGGAATCTACAAAAAAACTTGAACCAAGGCAGACGGACCCGGAATCGAACCGGCGTCCTCCCGAATACTAAGCAATGGGCTAAATCTCTAGGCCATGCCGCTAGGAGGACGTAGGGACAGCTGGGTATCTTTTAAAGATTTCCTTCTTCCAAGAAAATAAAAAAAGTAATAGCCAAGAAACATGTAGGTAAAAATTTAACATAAATTATTAAGTCCACAATTCATAAATCTACGACCATTTGATTTTATTTCTGGCCATCTGTGGCCCACGCTATAGTGAACGTAAAATTGGTAACGCCATAAAGCGGCCGCTCTATTACGGCACTTTCTTTAGCTTTCCTTAGGCGGTGGTCTCCCTGAAGACAAGTTGCCCGCGACCGGCCGCGAGGATCTTCGGAATGATGTATTTGGAAAAACAGCCGCGGTCTCCCTGGACCATCCCTTATGTTTATTAGCAACGGGTGACGGTTACACGTTGTACGCAACAGTTGGGGTTGTTTTGGAGAATATCGACGGGCGAACGCCACACGGGTTGTTCAACAAATTGGGTATTTCAATAAAGAGACGAAATAATAATCAAATTACTACCATGCAAATCTGTCATCAATGGCATTAATTGATTCTTTCGATATTCGGATATATACAGGGTGTTTCTGAAATAAGTAGCAAGCTTGCAGTAGATGATAGAGCACTATAAANGAGACGAAATAATAATCAAATTACTACCATGCAAATCTGTCATCAATGGCATTAATTGATTCTTTCGATATTCGGATATATACAGGGTGTTTCTGAAATAAGTAGCAAGCTTGCAGTAGATGATAGAGCACTATAAATAGTACAGGGAAAGGCCAGTCCAGCCTTGATAGGATTACGCAGGAAACAACAACAATTCAAGGCCGCATTTAATCACCTGGTCATCGTCAGTATCCGTGTTGGATTTGTTTTGTATTTTTGTACTTATGCCTTGTTTGTTATTCGTTAGATTAGATTAGATTAAATGTGATTGACGATGTTTATGTTGCAACCTGCCTACAGTAGCTCTGGTGGTAGGTAAGTCAACGTGCCATTGACATAGGTCAGGGATGGCGAACCAATGGCACGGGTGCCATTAGTGGCACGCAATACAATATTTTGGGCACGTCACTAATATTTCTGTGATTCATTCTTTAATCAAGGAATCTTCAGCGAGATTTTCTCAGTTTACAGAATTATCAGAGATACTCAAGTTTACTATGTACCCTGATGTGACGTCATTTGATAAACTGAATTTGTCCCAATTCGATTGGTTGGATATTGAAGAATTTGAAATGCAGTTGATTGATTTCCAGTATTTTGAGTTGATGTTTTTTATTATTTTCCCGATAATTACAGAAACCAAATTATCTCATGGCACGTCTATGACCTGATTAAAAACTTCTCTTTATAAAAATAACACGTCAATACGTAAAGGTTCGTCATCCCTGTCATAGGTCAATAACAACCTCAAAGGTGGTGTAGAAATTTGCTTTACATTTAATATAATTACAGTTACCTATCCATAGGGTATTAATTAATCTATTAATGTTTACATAACGTTAATTTTATTTTTCTTTGGTGTACTTAATACCATGTTGACGTGTACTATAAATAACACTGTAAATTATCAGCGATAAAAAAAGTTGTTGTTTAATTAATTTTTATCACAATGGGTACCTGAAAACATTATTATGTGTAATAACATAGTAGTACGTTGTTGATATTTACATTAAACGTTGAACAACCAGTAGTGTATTTTTATAATCTCCATCGGTTTTGCTGCTCAGTTGTCGTAACTGTGCACTCATACCTGCGTTGCCAAGCTCAGGGCGGGCTTTTGATTGCAATTTATTTTTTTCTTACAATTTTTTATTGTCAATTCGTTTCCCTATTTCATCTGTTAACACCCTCCAAAGCTAGCTATTTATTTCAAAAAACACCCTGTATATAAACATGTAGATTATAAGATACTACAAATGGCGCAGTAAACGTCATCTGTAGCACGATGCTACATTTTAGTATAAAGACCACTTCGAATTATTTTATTCGATTAAGCTAACGTGCCTATCACGTTGAGGTTGGCTACGCCGGGATTCGTTTTCAGCAAGTAGATATCCACACAAGTGGACCTTGTTGGAGCATACGTACAGATGGCGTTTACTGCGCCATTTGTAGTATTTTCTAAAACGCACTATTAAGACAGCAGGTAAAAGTTGGTCTGTGTTCTGTCAGATCTGCCTGCGACGCGCTGATGAGATATAAAAAGATCGAAATCGCGATCCGCGTCTGGCAGTTTCGACAGAATATAGACCACTTCGAATTATTTTATGTAGATTATTTGTAACAAATATAAAGATTAATAGAGAACGTATTTTTTTTCTTATTTATCTAAATTAATAACGAAATAAGCAGTCTTTTATGGTTCATCATGAAGAAACTAATTACCGAATTAGTACGCGGGTGTGTTGAATTGAGATACTGCATTCAAAAGATGAGAATTAAACCTTCTAATGGGAACAGACACACGTTTGTTGTAAGAGAGACCGTGAGCCCGCAACTGAAAATGGGTACATGTTCGTCGCGACGCCGCTGCACGTCGTCGGTCGTGGATTGCGGGTGAGAGAGACTACCGCAGCGAGCGGCATGGCCTAGACGTTTAGACCATTGCTTAGCATTTGGAAGGATACCGGTTTGATTCCGGGTTCGTCTGTCTTGGTCCATGTTTTTCTGTGGTTTCCTTGGATCACTTAGGCAAATTCTGGGGCAGTAATATTCCACAAATAATGTTTCATTCTCTTCTGCCTTCAATTCGCCCGTCTCATCTTTCTCACCTGAACTATCACCCACCCATTCGTACGATTCCTGAAAGGAGGTTGAAAAGGGCCTTCCGCCCTACCTTCCGACGTAGTCCGGAGGGACTGCCCGCCCATCAGCATTACTGGCTGGTGGGAATGAAACACCCAAAAGTTTTTTTTTTAGAGTCCACCGCTTTAGAAATCAAAGCTTTATAGCCGAGTACGCGGCGTCATTATCCGGCACCTAGCCTTACTTACAAACTTACCTTCCATGCCATTGGCCAATGGACAAGGTACAAATCTAGATAATCCAAACCCAAATGTTTTAAAGTAGTTTTGAGTGCACCTTCTACCAAATCGGGACGATGGTACGTATTCCAAAGTTTACTGGTTATGTATAAATCTTCTCTTTTAACGGTTCCATCTTTAATCTTAGCTGCGATCGCCTCACCGACTTCCTTTTCGTTTTCGTAAACGTGAGCACAATCAATGTGCCGGTATCCAATATCAATAGCATACTTTACAGCCTGAGTTACTTCACCAGGTTTGGACTAAAATTTCCATGTAAATAAAATGTTTTTTTTTACTGAACAAAAATTGCAAATTAAGATAACTTGTACGTATCTACTGATTTGTTGTTCAAAAAAACAAGTGATGTGAATTATAAAAACGAAGATAATATAAAATTTACTAATTAACAGATAATCAAACTTTCAAAATTCGGTGTTGAAATTGTAATTTTATCAATTTTAATAGTAAACATAACATATCATTATTACAACTAAAGTTAGATAACTATTATATTTGAATCTCACCTTCCAGGTTCCTAAACCGAAAAGTGGAAACTTTTGACCATTATTGAATGTAGTGAAGGGAACGTTGACCATTTTAATAGTATGTTATTTAAAAAACTACTTTTAATTGATACAAACTGAGGTATTTATAATTTTATTCGCGTTTTCGGCTGATGTTATTTTTGTTCTGTATAAAATGTAAGTTAGGTATTATATAACCAAGCAACGCTACCGAAATTATCGACAACTGCCAGAAAACTGCGCGGCTGAATTCGGGACAGTCGGAATTTGCCGTTAGTTTGTGCGTTCCGCATATTTATATGTTACGTCACACAAATGTAAACAATCTACGCGCACAAACACAATATAAACTCAATTAGCGCCTATGTACGTACAGTGGTTCTCATAAATAATTAATCGCCATGTATAGTATCAATAAGGAACATTGGAAACATTAATTAAAAGCAAGTCTTTGATCATATTAAATACAAAAGGTTATCAGCATTATAATATAAAACCTTTCTCATTAAGCGCTTTTATTGCTGATGAAGGAATGTAAGTGAATGGGGCCGTTCGAGTCGATGACGTAATTCACAAATACAATTGTTTATTTTGTAACTAATATTACTTCAAGGATACAGAGATAATAAATAATATTATATAACAATATTAATATTATCTTGTTGTTGATTCACCGAACTAATTTATTATGTAAGTGTAATTATATGTACAGAGTGTTTCTAAAAATAAAGTAACAAGCTTTGGAGCAATAAGGAATCGCAAGATGAGTAATGTAACGTGGTTACGGGACCATCATTAGGTCGTCAGTCCTAAGACTGACTAGACACGCACCTCCACTCTTTCCTATCCTGAGCTAAACTTCGCATTTCCCTAAAACTAGAACAGCCCACATCCTTTACTATTTGCGAAGAGTAATCTAATCTAGGTCTACCTCTACCCCTCCTAACTCCTGTTTCTGCCTCTAATATGTCTCTGACTAGACCTTCATGTCTGAGAAGGTGTGCTACCAACCTATCTCGCCTACTTCTTATTGACTTCCATAGAGTCCTCTATTCAACTATTTTTTCTAATACCTCTCCATTTCTGTTCACGCTATCCTCATCATTTGCCCGTAACACCACGGGAAAACATTTAAGAAAAACTATGAAACATTCTAAGAAATTCCATGACACGAAAAATCATAATATTCACCCAAAACATAAGACAAAAAGGTGATCTCTCTGAAAAATCATAAGAAATAATGAAAAACTGAGTAATGTATTATCATTTTATCGTATCCTTACTTAATCTGCGATCAGTGTAAAATAAATTTAAAATAAATGTTAAAAAAACAAAAAAATAGAAAAATGAGAACTTATATAACAATGATCTTCATCCCTATGAGTGCAGTTTTAGATTTCAGATACTTAATCGTTCATAATTTTTAATAGGAAAACAATAAAGAATAACTATGAAAATTTAGACGTGCTTTTCATTAATCTTCATAGTATTTTATATTATTTGTCATAATTTTTTTTACGTCAGGATACATTGAAGTTATTATTAAAACCGCCTTTCAAGAAATTCCTTTATTAACCTTTAGACTGAAAATGCCACTACCCAGTCGTGCGGACGGCTGGGTGTCTTGAAGATTTCCCCTCTTCCGAGAATTGGTGGGTTTTACTTTAATTATAAGAGAATTCCATAGAGTTCTCTATTCACCTATTCTTTCTAATACATCTTCATTTTTAACCTTCACTCTCACAAGCTCGCATGTATGACAGAAAATTTCTGCATTTAAGACAATTATTGTGTCAGTAAATAGAAAAATTTGTGCTTAGAATTATTAAAAAAAAAAGAACGTAAGTATCTAACTAAATAAGCAAAATCAAGACTTAACACGCAAGACTAAGACCGAGACTGTATCAGCAAGACCAAGACCGATACCAATACTAGGACTCATCACTAACTTTGATGCTTCACACTTCTGCAGTGATCACGAAAATAATGAGTGAAGTCCCTAATGTTATTCGGTGCAGCAGTTAATAAAATTTGTTGGAAGAGGTAATTCTATTTTCTTCATAACCATGCTTAAAATTTTTCGATTTATGGTGTACCCAGGTTTAGTTATAGTAATCCTTTCCTACCATAACCTAACCTAAACCTCGGGGGTTGGACCTTATGTACACCAATCAGAAATACGTTAATGGCGGAATGACTTTCCTACCATAACCTATATAGCATACTATTTTTTTTGCAGTAATATTGTATCTCATATAGTAGTATTGATGCTTTTGAAATAAATCGATTATTTTTTTATCAAATAAGTACGTAAAATTAATGTCTTTTTACAATACTGACTAATCGTGCTGTATTTCTTCACTAAAATTAATTCGTTATTGCGCGTATCTCAAAAAATAATAATTGTAATGGGCTGTAATAAAAAATTCAAATTAAAATTATAGTTTTATTGGAAGTTGATAGTACATTTAGATAAATTTTCGTTAAAAGGAACTGATCGTATACCTACCAATGATTGCTTAAAATAAAGTGATCAAAAATAAATTGTCCCCCATTAGACATTAATATTCGTCATGAATGAACGGATGATCCTTGTGACTGTATGCTCTAAAACAAACAAAACATTTGCGTAAAGAAGTTGTACCTGTATAGGTATGAGTTAATCTAGAAAATCGATAAAATAAAATAAAATAAATAATAAAATTGTAATTACTCGGCAGCTGGACATATTCTTCCATTACAGTCGAATGTGTCAATATAAACCATATCTTGTGGAGTTAACTCGAAGTCAAAAATATTGAAATTTTCCTTAATTCGTTGATTATTTACGGACTTTGGAATGGTTATATGACCTAGCTGGATCTGATATCTGAGCAATATTTGCGCCGGTGTTTTTCCGTATTTTTTTGAAATTTCGATCAATTTTGGGTCGTCCATCAATTTGGGATCATCGGGCTTTGCCCAAGGTCTGTCTGGTGACCCTAGAGGACTATAAGCTGTGACGACGATATTTTTTGATTTGCAGAATGCACTCATTTTCTTTTGATTAAGATAGCCATGACACTCTATCTGAAAATAAGTACCATTTTGTTTAGCCTTTAATCAAAATTAAGACGCACTTAAATTACAAAGAGACATTGAATCAATTGCTTATTGGGATGATTGCAATGATCTAATTATTAATATTTGCAAATGGAAAGTTATGTATTTCATTGGAAAAAAGTAATATTAATTATTACATTTTAATACTTAGTTATTTGCCTTTTAATTGAAACAATAGTTATTCTATGCAGAAGTATTGCGTTATCTATTTTATTATACTGCTCACTACATAATTATTCAGGAATCTTAAAAAGTCTTAAAATATAAAATTAGGTTTATGTTCAATTATAACGATCCATTTTCGTATTCAACTTAGTAAATGGTTTCCTATATTAACAGTCTGTCTCTTATGAATCCCTTTACGTATAGATATTTAAATTGCACTCCAAATCCTAATGTCATTCAGAAACGATTGTTAGGTCAAACTTTGCACACAATAAAATGAAGTGAAACTGAGACTCAGAGTCGGATTCTATAAGAACTAAGGAAGTTCCCTCCTTCAAATACTATACCGAAGAATATTGTATCCATTACTACCAGGGATAGAGAGGTATACAATAATATAATATAAAGCTAAACATTTCAGCTCTGCCGCAAATCAATGTTAATTTAATTTTGTTATATTATTGCAGGTATATATCTTTTAGTTCAATTAACGAGGTCCTTTTTCCATCGAAATTGACCACTTCCGTTACGACGCAATTTTATTTTTTGTCAAATAGTAAAAAAATGCTCTGATTCTGAATTTCGTTATCCACAGTTGCGGGGCAACATTTGTTAATTTAACAATTACCGAAAAAACAAGATTTTTTTACTTTTTCCGAAATATATACTCTTTAGTGAATTTTACGTCATATGTATCTTACATGTTTTTTATTCTCCATATACTCAATTGACTAAAAAATGACACTGGTTTGCATTCAAAATAAAAAAAAATATTTTTTTTGCTACCTCGAGTTTTGGAAAGATTGATTACATATTAACTTTACAAATAATGAGCAATCCATGTGTATGCAACCCAATTTACATTAAGTCTTCGTTAGTTTCGTTACTGATGGTTTTAATTTTACTTTCAAAATACCTAATCAAAGTTATAGTACCTGATTAACCACTGGAGGAATTGTTGCGACTTCCAATATTCGTTCGATTTGTCTTTTATTAAAATTGGAAGTACCAATAGACTTGGTCAAACCCTTTCTACAGACCTCTTCCATGCCTTTCCATGTATCAGTAATATCAACATCGCTGGGAATGGATTGACCATCTGAATCGCTAGGAAACATATCGTTTCCTTCCTGCAAAACAACAAGTCTAATACTTTTAAAATATTACTAGATATTAAAACTATAATTGATCCGACGAGACTTGAACCTTGACGAAACTCTTGTACAAACTAGAGTGGGTGGATCGGCTTGCGAGTTTCGATGATTTAGGAAGCCGGACCATAGGTTCAACCATCATGGGGGGTTGTTAAAGAGAAACCAGACTAAGACAAGTCCCTGAAAGAGGGCAGCTGCTCTTTCAGTACTCAGAGTGGCAGAGATTATGAGGATCGGTATGGCACTCTGATGCACAATACTACTAGGCAATGAGAAACCACCACATTATGATCCCAGGTAAAACGTTCAACTACTGAAATTAAATGATGGCGTCCTCTGGGATAAAGTACTCCAGACGTAAACTAGTCCCCCATTCGAATGTCCGGGGGGGGGGACTACCTCGGGGGTTGTCATCAATAAGTGCAATAGGGTTAGATGCAATATTTGAGGCCAGTAGGGAAATTGGAAAATTTAAAAGTAGAAATGAGTAGAATTAGATATAGTAGGCAATAATGAAGCCCGTTGGCCGGAAGCTGGAGACTTCTGGAGTGGAGACTTTAGAATAATACATACAGGATCGGTGGAAGGTAATTCGGAGGTAAAGGTAGGAGACGAAAAATTAGAAGTAGTGGCCGATTTGAGGTTTCTGGGAAGTTAGATAAGTCAGGATGGAAGAAGTAGTAGGGATATTAAGCAGCGGATAGCGCAGGGTTATGTCGCCTTTAATAAAAAGAAGTCACCTCTATGTTCGCGAACGGTCGATTTAGAAATTCGAAAAGGTTTGTTAAACGTGTGTTTAATCTGTCGCGTACCGGATCTAAACCTAGTACTAGGTACATATCTAA